TCTCACCAGTTTTACATGGTCAGCCGTTTTCGTGCTGTATATCACGATGTCATCAAGATACACCAAAACCCCTTTGTATAAATGATCACATACCTGATTAATCAGCTGCATGAAGACAGCTGGAGCCATTTGCTGTCCAAAAGGCATGACTTTAAATTGATAGCTCCCCACGGAACAGTTAAAAGCAGTCTTCCACTCATCTCCTTCCTTTATCCTCACCTGGTAATAAGCCTCTCTCAAGTCCAACTTAGCGAAGACCCTCCCCTTTGCCTGGTGGGTCAGTAAGTCATTCAGGAGGGGGAGGGGATATTTGTTTTCCATGCTCACCGCGTTCAGACATTTATAATCTATGCAGAGATGAAGCGACCCGTCTTTTGTTTCTTTAAATAACACCGGGGCTCCCACAGCAGACTTGGCCCATTCGATAAATCCCCTCGCTAAGTTTTTGTTCATATACTGCTGCATCTCCTCCATCTCAAGGGGGGACATAGCGTACATTCTCGGTTGTGGGAGTTTGGTTCCCGGTAACAGTTCGATAGAGCAATAATTGGGCCGGTGAGGAGGCAGTGTTGCATTCTTTCTCACTAAATGCCTCCACTAGGTCCCAGTATTCGCTAGGGATGAGTGGCTCACCTGGTTGAGTCAAGGCAGCCATGTGCACTAGCCCATTGGGTGGGCTAGGTTCTCTTGTAATGTCTGTCAAGTTAAGGGGGGGCTTGGGTCCTTGTTCACAGTCCTTGTTCCCTTCTCCCACTAGATAAATGGTTCCCATTTGTCTAACCAGGTTAGTCCTAGGATCACAGTCTCAGTCATTTTCAAAGCAACAATGAAACGAATGAACTCCCAGTGTTCACCTATTTCTAAGCGTAGAGGTTCAGTCAACTGCGTGACTAAAGTTCCTCCCATTAGGGAGCCATCAGCTTGCTCAAACCTCATAGGTTTGGAGAGCAGCCTTGCTCGTATGCCCATTTTCAGAGCAAGTGATAAGCTAATAACATACCGGGAGCATCCAGAGTCGACTAGTACTTTCAAATCTACCTGGGTCCCCATCTTAGAGATTATGAGTTTGGCAGGTAGAGAAAAAGTGGGACGTGCCGACTCACCATTGGGTCATTCTCTCTGTCATCACTGTTGTAGGAGAGTAGAGTGGTGGCAGGTCCGGCTTGGGGTTCGGCACTCTCCTGCGTGGGGGATGTGACTTGGGCAACAGGTTCCTGCGTGATCCAGTTGGATTTCTCTTTCACCGGCTGCTGGGCTGGTTTCTTTCTCGCTGGTGGTCCCAGTCTATTCTGTTGCTGAGGGTAAGGGACCGGGCAACTCGCTGCTCGATGTCCTTGTTGTCCACATCTTAAGCACTTGATCGGTGGGGCTGCAGTCAACCTGGGATTGTCAGTAGCTGCGGTGGTTGGAGGTTTTCAGGGAGGGTGGCTGTCATTTGGGTTGATCTGGCCTCAGCTCGGCTTCTTGTGGGGGTGGCTTCTTATAGCAGGCGAGCTGAATGTCCATTTTACTGCTGCCTGGTACCATTCTTGCAGCTGATTAGGAACTGCTCAATAGGTACAAGCCTTGGAGGGGTGCTTGTCCAGTTTCTCCCTGAAGTGATGGACTAGGGATGCTCGGGTCACCTCTCTATTTGGCCAGCTATCTTGTGAAACTCTCGTACGTATTCCAGTGTAGGCCTGCCAGTTTGCTTTATCTTGTGGACTTGCTTCTCCGCTTTGAGGGCAAAGGATGGATCCTCAAACTTTGCTCTCAGTCCTAGGAGGAAGAGATGGGGGTCCTCCAGCTCAGGTGCTTGCTCGTTATATAGATTGTTCAGCTACTCAGATGCTTCACCTTCCAAGCTGGAAGCAACCACGTCGACCATAGAGGCTGGGTTCGGATAGAAATAGGCACAGCGGTTCAAGTGAGAGCGCACCTGGTTGAGGAAAAAGATCAGCTTCTCTGGGTCCCCATCGAAGGTTGCTCTAAGAGGTGGCGCCACCAGTGCTGGCCTCCCCACTGTGGATGTTGCACCCCCACTGGTTGCTAGCCCCCCCATGGCTGCTGCTATATCCCCAGTTGCTGCAAGCCTTTCAGCAGTTGTTGCACGTTTGGGGGCTGTTGCCACCCCCATCACTGTTGCTATATTGCCGGCGGCTGTGGCATCTCCAACTACTGTATGACCCCAATGGTCTCAGGGGCACTCCCAGTTGCTGCAAGCCTCCCAGTGATTGCTGCATGTGCGGGAGCTTCTGCCCTTCTCACTGTTGCTGACCTGTGGGCAGTTGTGGTATCCCCAGTTTTTGTAAGCCTCCTGTGGCCCTGGAGGTGGTTGTTGCTGGATCTCATCGGTTGCCAGGCCCTCAGTGGTTGCTGTACAATCGAAGGCGGCAGCCAGCCCCACTGCTGCTGCTGTACTTCCAGCAGTTGCAGAGTTCCTGGTGGCTGCATCACCTCTGGTTGTTGCAAGGCCCGCATCTGCTGCTGCACATTCGGGGGCTGTGGCTGTGGCCCCCCAATTCGATTGATGCACAGCCAGCGACTGCTGGTTTCCCATCCAGGGAGGCTGTGACATCCCCCATTGCTGTATGGGCCCTGGGCTGGGTGGCCAGTAAGCATGTTGATCTGGAGTTTGGCTGTCCCAGTGACGGCTTAAGGTCTGATCTTGTCGGTGGCAATCAAAGAAGGAACTTTTGCAGATCTCCCAGCTGGGAGCAAGACCGAAGCAACTAGGAGAGCTGATTTGGTCGTCAGACAGAGATAAGCCCAGCAGAGATTCCAGACGCTTCGAAACAGCCTTGCAACCCTCAAGGGCTACAAAAGCAGATGAGGTAGAGCTACAACAAAGGGATTCTTGCATATCGCATTCCCCAGACCGGTGGAGAGCTGCCAGGCCGTCTGCCACCAAAGACTCAGGTGAGTGGAAATATCCGTCCGCAGCTCGTAGTCGGTCAGTAGAATATTTGGCAGAAAGATCTGAAGAGTGAGAAGTGAAAAGCAGAAAGCGGAAAGCAACTCCTGCTGAGAGAGGCCTCCAGTCCCTCCCTCCCAGTTGCTTAGCTTCCACTTCTATCTACCAAAACTCATCCTCCCACAGTAAGCTGTCTGAGGCTCCCTCCTCTGGGGTATCAGCAGCTGCCGGGTCACGGTCTTCAAGCAAGTTCTCTTCTCCCATGATGAAATTTTCCCCTGAATCTTTGCCAGCTTCTCTCAAGCCTAGAGACAATGGCTGGAGTTCAGGACCCCAGATAGTTTGAAAAGAAAGATCTTGGCATGATGTCATGGTTCCGACTAGTAAAACAATAATACTCAGCCTTGGGAAAGGAAGGAGTACAAAATTCAAAGAATTTCCAGGCATTGTTTATCCTAAAAAGTCTTTAATCATGTAACAAAGTGTTGGCACAGCACGGTGAATGTCAAGATCTGAATTCCGCTCCCTTCAGCACATAATATCTGGCACCATTCCCTCCTCCAATTAGCAGTCATAATCATGTTCTCCAATCAGTTTGAAGGGCAAAGCTTCCATTCCATTGTATAATGTGCCATTTCTTATCTTATTAAAAACAACCAGGGGAAACATTCTTCCTCCTCCCCCCAGCATCTTCTAATTCTAAGAGCAATGCTTCTTTATATTGTCAAAGCAAAAACATCCAATGTTTGCAGCATTGACATCCAATTTCTCCACTGATTGACTACGGGCTGCAGACAGGTACTTCCACTCACCTAAGTCCTCAGCGGTAGTCAATTTTGTGGTTCTCCACCGATCCAGGGAACGCGACGTGTGGGAAGCCCCTCTTTGCAATTTGACCTCGTCTGCCTTCGAAGCACTTGATGGTGACAAGGACGTCTCAAGGTGTCTAGAGTCTCCACTAGGTAAGGTCCATTCCGATGACCATATCAGCTGTCCTCGCGGCTTGGGTCTTGCTCCCTACTGAGAGGCCTGAAAAAATTCCTTCTCCACCAGCACGCTGGCTTGCGCTCCCCCTTCTGAGGTAGCAGCCACAGCTGGGGTGCTGGTTTCAGGCACTCGTTCCTTCTCCATGCTGAGATCTTCCCCAAATCTTTGTCCGTCTATCCCTCAATTTTAGGAACAGCGACCAGGGCTCAGGAACCCAAGATAGTTAGGTACAAATTGGAGTTTTGGCCTTAATGTCATGGTTCCGACAGATGAATCTCTTCAAAAGAACTTCGAGGCATTGTTTTCCTTAAAGAATCTTTTATTCGAGAAACAAAGTATCAGCACTACATAGCTGAAGCCAAAAACTGAATTCACCTCCCCTGGCACAAAGTAGCAAAGCGCAATTCCCTCCTCCAATTAACAGTCATAAATCACATTCCCCAATTAACTTGAAGTGCGGGCTTTCTCCCCATCTTCCCTGCCTGCCAAATTTCTATCAACTCTGGACCTAATAATCTTGGGTTCCCAAGGCTGAGTATTATTGTTATGACTAGCTGGACTTTCATCCACATTCCCCCTCCCATCATCAACAAACTCTAAAAGCGATAGAGAAAAGATGGCTACATTTCCATCTGTTGTGAAAGCAAGAACATCCAATGTTAGCAGCGTTGACAATTAATACGTTTCATTCAGTATGAACCTAAAGAACGGGCATCAATCCCCATTTTTATTAATGAGAGCAATTTGGTTACAGTCTAGATTTGAATTCTACAAAATTTATCCCGATATTGGGATTTTAGCCAAATATTTGAATACAGATATTGTATTTCACCTTTATGCTAGTGATATAGGTTCTGCAGCACAAATATTAATGCACTACAACATTTTACTCTATCCCAGGCCTTGTGGTGGAGACTATAGTAAAAAACATCAGTTTCCTTGAGGAACATGAGGAGGCTACAATATAAGCAATGGTCTTTGAGAACAATTTAGTGTTTTATGAATAGTCTATGTACTCCTTCCTTTACTAAATCTAAAGTAACTATTTCACTAACTTCAATTATTATAAACAAAATTTAATTCTATGTTAGTGACATAAATTTAAAGAAAAAATATTTACCCATCATCAGAACCACTGCAAAGTATTCCTTCTCTAAGGGGAGACCATCTTACATGAAATACTTTGGCTGTATGCCCACTGAATACTTTCAATGGCTGATCAGAACTAGTTGCTAGATAATAAACACGGACATTTTTATCTTCACATCCGGTCGCTATCATATCTCTGTAAGAAAAATCACAGCCATCAATTACCATACTGGAATCCCACCTTCTAAAATTGCTGAGATCAAGGTTATTAAGTATTAGGAACAGATATGAAAGAAGATGTGGGATATACAATCATCCAAATTTACTATAGAAAATAGAAAGGGGGATGTTTTGCTTATTCACAGCATGAATTGCACAACACATTATTTGTATGTTTAAAAAATGAAGGAGCCTATATGAAGTGGAATAAATTAACAGTAACAACAATACAGAAATTCAACTTTATTTTTTAATTTATTCATTTTATTTATTACATTTACAGGGTTGTAAAAAGGGAGATTTGTTTGTATGCCATTCAACTCCCAATGATTCTGGGTGGCTCACAAGTTAAAGCATTTTAAAAAATAAAAGAAAAAAAGATGATCAAATTGAATAGAAACTGCATTTATCTCATAGTAAGTAATCATTTCTGACATTTTGATATTTTTTTCTAGAATGGTATACCAGTGTGAAAATAATTTTAAATGGCCTTTGTCTAATTGCCTTTGTAATAATTAGGCCCAGTACTCTTCAATATCTTTATAAATGACTTAGATGAGGGAATTGAAGGGGAACTCATCAAATTTGCAGATGACACAAGACTGACAGGAGTAGCCAACACCCCAGAAGACAAGTTCAGGATACAAAAAGATCTTGACAAACTTGAACAATGGGCCCTATATGGAGAATGTGGAGAAAAGCAAAGTCTTACATTTAGGAGGAAAAACCAAAGGTACAAATACAGATTGGGTGAGACCTGGCTTAAAAACAGTAACTGTGAAAATCACCTTGGAGTCCTAGTGGACGTTCACTTGACTATGAGCCAGCAGTATGCAGCAGCAACCAAAAAAGCTAATCCTGGGTTGTATAAACAGAGGCATAGAATAACGCACAGTATTAGTACTGCTTTATAAAACCCTGTAAGAACACACCTGGAACATTATAGATAATTTTGGTCACCATATCACAAAAAAGATGTTGAGAGTTTGGAAAAAAATCAAAGAGCAACTAAGATGATCAAAGGCCTGGAGACTAAAACATACGAAGAAGGGCTATGGGACTTGAGTTTGGCTAGTCTAAAGAAAAGAAGAAATAGGGAAGACATGATAGCAATGTTACAATATCTGAGGGGCTGCCACAAGGCGGCGGGGAGGGCGGTTTTTCACCAAAGCACCAGAGGGAAGGATGAGAAACAATGGCTAGAAATTGATCAAAGAGAGAAGCAACCTGGAATTAAGGAGAAACTTCCTGACAGTGAGGACAATTAACTAGTGGAACAGCTTACCTCCAGAAATCGTGGGCATTCTGTCATTGGAGATTTTTAAGAGGAGACTAGACATTCACCTTTCTGAGATGGTATAGGTTCTCCTGTTTGAGCAGGGGGTTGGACTAGAAGACCTCCAAGGTCACTTCCAGCTCTATTCTATTCTATTCTATTCTATTCTATTCTATTCTATTCTATTCTATTCTATTCTATTCCTATTCTATTCTATTCTATTCTATTCTATTCTATTCATGTCATGGTTCCGACTAATGAAACACTTCAAAGAACATCCAGGCATGTTTATCCTAAAGTCTTTATTAACAGTGTAACAAATTGATGGCACATCATGGATGTATGCCAGAATCTGAATTTCTCTTGCTTGCGTCTAGCTTTTCTTTCTAAACCCCTCCCTTATTTTGCAGTCATAAGTCACATCTTCCAATTAGCCCGGAGGGCAAAGATTCACTTCCGTTCGTTTTTTTCAGTTTCAAGTTTTTTATTGATTTTACAATATTACATTTACATATTTGAAAAGTAGCATGGCAGCTGAGCACAGTAATTCTGTTACATTTGAATATCATCAGTACAAATCTCAAATTATTACAACAAACTAATTCCCTCTCTTTCCCCCATGATATCTACTGTCATGTTCAAACCAATACAGTTCTTATTCTACTAAACAAACATAAAATACCTTTCTAATATTCATCAATAATCTTCAGTCTATACATATCTTAATTAATTTGACATTCCACCTTTTAGACAATAACCTAGTAAGTTTTTTTAACTTTAATTTGCCATTGATATTTAAGTTTAACGTTTAATCTTTATCATTTCCAGGTTTTAGATGATCCCAATTTTTTAAGTCTCCTATCTCACATTTAGAGCTAATAATTTTTTTCTTTTCTTCCTTCTAATTCATCCTTTCTTCCTTTCCAGAAAGAGAAAAAAATTAAAAATAAACTATCAACATTTATACCACAAACCCATATACAAATTTAATTATTAGTACTTATACTTTTAAGTTTTACTTAACCTTTATCTCAACTCATAACAATATCTTAAATTCAAATCTTAATTATTTGTAGACATTCAGATTACATTTACTATTTAATTTGTCCAAATTTTTAATTAAACACAATTCCTTTATCCCGATTGCTCATACATTCTAATATTTAAAATACACACCTTATATATAAATTCTACCATCTATCTTACCCATCTAATGACAATATAATATTTTTATTTCAACATATTTCTAGATTTTATATAACCAAAATTTTCTTTATCTCAAGTCGTTACAATGTCTCGTGTTCAGAATACATATTCTATCTATTTAGATATATTCTATTTTAGAGCTCATATATAGATCAGAACCCCAATCATTTTCAATCTTATTCTAGCTTTTTTCCTCTGCCAGGTCATTTTCCGTATTTTTGCCTTTAAATCATCAAAAAAATCTCCTTGTATTGTTGTGGCTATTGTTTGATGTTAATAAGAACATCCAGTTGATGTTTTCTTAAAAGGACTAGTTGATTTAGCCGGTAGTCTCTTTATTTTTCCAGTTCGATGCAGTTGTCCCGAAGTATTTATCTTCTGTTTTCATCTGTTTTTCTTGTTTATCTTCAAATTCCTTCTGGTTTATAAGAAACGTCCTTTCCTTGTTCTCTATTATCAATTTCTTTTTTGTGTTTTCTATTGTCTGTATTTGTTGACTATCTAAGTCTTCTGTCATAACATTTGGTTGTTTCTCTTTCTCTATAGAATTCTGTATAGATAATTCTTTGATTGAAGTCATAGTTTGAATTTGTATATCCAGAGCTTGCATACGTAGAGTTTGGATCATCACTTTTAACATACAAAGAATTTGTTCCTGTACTTCCTCTGTAGAAGAAATCCTTTCCTGTTCTCCTTCCATTGTAATATATTAAACTGAAGAAAAAGAAACTGACAGTCAGAAAGTCCACCAAATGGGGAACTGAGCTGAATTTTGCAGATGGTGTTTCAAGGTTATTTTATATATTATCTATTTTCAAAGCTGTCAACAAGTCTCTTAGAGAATAGCAGGTTACGTCTTAGAGTTAGTTGGATCTTTTTAGGGGGTTTTTTTCCGCTCTAATTTAAGGGGGAAAAAACCCCAAATCTTCAACAGTAATTAGAATAAAAATCAAGAAGAAATATATATAGAGAGAGCAGAAAGTTGCAAATCTTATAATCCACCAATTTTAGGAAATAGGATTCCAATTAAGATCTCAGTATTTTTCCAATGTTTTAAACTCCCAAGTGGTTGATAGCTGCTGTTTCTGGAGGGAGGGCTAGAATCCCCCTTCCCTCATCACAGGGGGGAAAGTACTTTAGCAGCTTATGCAGGTAATTAAGTAGTTAGGATATAAGAGAGGCAAACCTCACCCAGTCCTGTCCATGCTGCTTTGAAGTTGCCAGATGGTAGTGTGACTTCGGCTGTTTGCAGCCTAGGGACGAGCCATATTTCTATGGCCGGTCCTTTCATCTGCGGTTTGGAAGAATCGCCTGGTCTGACGGAAGAGTTGCTACTCTCCCGGGATCCAGCGAAAGCCCCTCCTTGCTGGTCACCTCTTTGAGGCAACTTTCAGCCCTTTTCAGGGCCCCCCAGTGATATGAAACTGAACAGGGGAGAGAGAGCAAGTCTCCCAACCGTCCATGGCGGCTGTGTGACGAACCGGAAGTCTGAGATTCACTTCTGTTCCTTTTTCCCAGGCTTTCCTTATGAATCTCCTCCCTCACTCTGTCATCAGAATTAACTCTAAAAATACCAGAAAGTTCTGTATATCTTGTCAAAATAATAATATTCTATATTAACAGTGTTGACATCTGGCCCCCCCTTACAAAAAGAACAGATCCTGTAATGTAAGCAAAAGCATATGTTAATGATTAGTTTTTGGTTTGTTGGGGTATTTCACATGAAATCTTTTGACGAGCCTGTCAGCTTTCACCTCACTGGATTTCACCAAGGTGGCATCTGACAACGGGTATCCCTTCCATTGTACTAGGTATTGCAATTTCCCTTTAAAAATTCTAGAGTCAAGAATACATTTCACTTCATAGTGGGTCTGTCCTGCAACTATGAGTGGCCCAGGTGCCTTCTTCGGGGGAGGTCTTAAAGTGGAACCCCGATAAAGTTTCAACAAGCTGCAATGGAAAACTGGGTGAATTCTCCCTAAAAGTCTAGGGAGTTTTAGTTCTACGGTGACCGGATTGATGATCCTTACTATGGGGAAAGGCCCCAAGAATTTTGGTCCCAATTTCTTGCTGGGCAATTTGAGGCGTAACTATTTAGTTGACAAATAAACCTTTTCCCCAACTTGGAATGTTCTTTGGGGAGCCCTTTTTCTATCAGCCTGCTTTTTATAGGTTTCAAAAGTCTTTTTTAAAGCAGCTTTTGTATTTCTCCAAACTTCTTCCCACCCCCTCACCCATTGGTCAAGTGTCTGGGAAGCGGAGGGCACCTGAGGGTATTCAGGTATTGGGTTGAACTCTTTTCCTGTGGCCACTCTGAAAGGCGTGGAGCTGGTGCTGCTGTGCACAGAATTATTGTATGCCACCTCCGTGAAAGGGAGGAGGTCAGTCCAGTTCGTCTGCTGGTAAGAAACGTAGCATCTAAGATATTGCTCCACCATTTTGTTAGTGGATTTTGCAGCCCCATTGGTGGCCGGATGAAAAGCAGATGATAAACCTTGAGATGATCCAATTAATTTAAGAAAACTCTTACAAAATTTCGCTGTGAACTGCACTCCCATCCGAAATTATTCGCTTAGGGGCTCCATGCAGCCGGTAGATATGTTTCAGGAACAATTTGGTCAGTTGTTGGGCAGATGGAATGAGCCTGCTTCAAGAACAGGTCTATCACAGTCCAGATGACAGTATTTCTTCTACTTTCAGGTAGGTCTACTATAAAGTCCATAGCTATTTCTTCCCATGGTTGAGAAGGGTCTGCCACCGGCTGCAGTAACCTGCGGGTTTTCCCTGGGATTCTTTTCATTGTGGCACATACAGTACAATTTTTTACATAGTTTTCCACATCCCGTTTCAGCCCCAGTCACCAAAATTGCCAGCGGGTGAGGTGTAGGGTTTTCAAATATCCAAAGTGTCCAGCCTGTTTTACATCATGGCTGTGTTTGAGAGCATTAAGATGGAGGGCTTCGGGCAGATATAGTTTCCCCCCCTTGTAAGCCAAGCCATCCCTGCACATTAGAGAGATTTGATTATCTTTGAACCACTGAATGGTGAGGAGCTCTTGTTCTATTTTCAATTAGCACGTTTAAGTGCATTTGTGCCCCAGACTAAGGGATTATAAATTTGACGGCCAGTGAAAAAGGCGGGATTTGTCGACTCACCATCAGGTCGATCTCTCCTTCATCGTCACTGTCAAAGGAGGGTAGAGCAGGGGCGGGTCCACCCGGAGTCTCGTCATTCTCCTGTGTGGGGGGTGTAATCTGGGCAACAGGTTCCTGGATGACCCGGATGGCTTTCTCTCTCGTCAGCCACTGGGCAGGTTTCCTTCTTGCTGCTGGTTCCGGTCTGCTCTGTAATCGGGGGTAGAGTACTGGACAGTTTGCTGCTTGTTGTCCTTCCTGTCTGCATCGGAAACACTTAATTGATGGGCCTGTAGGTGGCCTGGGTCTCTCAACCATTGCAGTAGTTGAAGGCTTTCATGGGGGGTGATTTCTGTTCGGGTAGCTCTGGTTGCTGCTCAGAGTCGTGTGGGGGAGGCTTCTTATAGCGGGCGAGCTGAACGTCTAGCTTCACTGCTGCCTGGTGCCATTCTTGCAGCTGATCAGGTACGGCTCGATAGAGGCATGCCTGAGAGAGGTGATCGTCTAATCCCTCAATGAAGTGATGGATTAGGAATTGTTCAGACCACCCCTCTATTCAGGGAGGGTGGCTGTCATTTGGGTTGATCTGGCCTCAGCTCGGCTTCTTGTGGGGGTGGCTTCTTATAGCAGGCGAGCTGAATGTCCATTTTACTGCTGCCTGGTACCATTCTTGCAGCTGATTAGGAACTGCTCAATAGATACAAGCCTGGGAGGGGTGCTTGTCCAGTCCCTCCTTGAAGTGATGGACTAGGGATTGTTCAGGCCACCCCTCTATTCGACCTGCTATCTTGCGAAATTCCCGTACGTACTCCAGGGCAGGCCTGCCGGCTTGTTTTATTTTGTGGATCTGTTCTCTTGCTTTAAGACCAATAGATAGGTCCTCAAATCTTTCCCTCAGCCCTAGGAGGAAGAGTTGGGGGTTCTCCAATTTGGAGGCTTGTTCATCATATAAATAGTTCAGCCATTTGGATACTTCTCCCTCTAGGCTGGATGCAATCACATCAACCATGGCCCCCGGGTCCAGGTAGAGATAGGCCCAGCAATTCAAATGAGAGCGCACTTGGTTGAGGAAAAAAACCAGCTTCTCTGGGTCCCCATCGAAGGTTGCTCTGAAAAATGTGCAATTATAGGATCTTGGGGCCCCTACGGTGGCTGTTGCTGCTGGCCCAATCCTGGCTGCAGATTTGTGCCTAGGGGTTGCACGTTTGGGGGATGTGGCCAATCTTCTCGCTGCTGGGCCCATCCTGGCTGCAGATTTATGCCTAGGGGTTGCACATTTGGGGGCTGTGGCCAGTCTCCTTGCTGTGGTCATTCTCTCACCAGCTGCTGATTTCTTGGCTTCTGTACCACCCCAAGCCGTTGAAAGGCCTCTATTAGTTGTGGCAAGTTCAGAGGACGTGGACCATCCACCTGCTGGGGAATCCGATCTCCCCATTACTGCAGAGGCCTCAGACTGGGATTCCCTCTCAGGGCTGGAGTCCCTGGCAGGGACATCTGCAATGGAAGGGCTGTAGGCTTCTCTCTGCAGGAATTGATTTCTGCTTTTCACCTCTGGGTTTTAAAATCTTTCCAGTGACTCACCCAAAACTTCGTTATCTCTCCATTCTGCTTTTGAAGTCTTTACTCCCAGCTGGGAAATCTGCCAGAGTTCTTTCTCCGCTGACTGGCTGGCTGCCGCTCCACTCCTTGGGGAAGCTGCTGCTGCTGAGGGACTGGCCTCAAGCCATCTCTCCCCTTCCATAGTGAGATCTTCCCCGAATCTTTATCAGTCTACCCCTAAGTTTAGGAATAGTGATTGGAGTTCGGGACCCCTTAATTGGTTTGAAAATTTGTGGATTCTGGCATGATGTTATGCTTCCGACTAATGAAACACTTCAAAGAACTTCCAGGCATGTTTATCCTAAAGTCTTTATTAACAATGTAACAAATCGATGGCACATTATGGATGTATGTCAGAATCTGAATTTCTCTTTCTTGCGTCTAGCTTTTCTTTCTAAACCCCTCCCTTATTTTGCAGTCACATCTTTCAATTAGATTAACTTCCGTTCCTTTTCCCCAGGCTTTCCTTATGAATCTTCTCCCTCACTCTGTCATCTGAATTAACTCTAAAAATACCAGACAGTTCTGTATATCTTGTCAAAGCAATAATATCCTATATTAACAGTGTTGACTATTCTATTCTATTCTATTCTATTCTATTCTATTCTATTCTATTCTATTCTATTCTATTCTATTCTATTCATTTATTTTCTGGTACTATAACTGCTTTAAAATCTTTTAGAAGTGCTTTGGGATGCATGGATACACAATTGCAGCATCTAATTAAAAATTGCCACATCTTTTTTCAGGTTTCCATGCAACCTTAAAAAACTTGCACTATTGTAATGAGTGCCTTAAAGATATAGAAGTTTTAATTAACTGACTCATTATAGGAACTGTGTTTGTTTTTTAGATATATAGAAAAGCCCCAAAAAACAAATACAGCTATTTTAAAGAGATACTGCCCTGTTTATTACAAAATACCTCTTCAAAACATTTTGGAAGCATACAATCCTACTATTTCCAATAAATCTTTCAGTAAATGTTTTGCTTAAAGTAATCTTCTGTGTTCCCAGCACAATATACACAGTTGAGATTTATAAAAAAAATACTATAACTATTTAGAAAAAAATTACTATATAAGAATTAAATATAGATTCATTTGAATATTATTGGCTTTCAATAAACATAACTCAGATATACAAACTATGAGATATAAACAATCAATCGTTTTTCAGTATTGTTGGTGTTTACAACATTGCCAGCACATATGAAACATCCAAAAATCATTACAAAATGTTTCACTATTGGCTAATCATTGTCTTGATTGCTAAAACAAATGTTTTTTCCCTAAAATAATATTGAAAATGTAAATAAATCTGATTTTTAAAAGGCTTTACTATTTATTATCTAATCCAATTCAGTCTGAAAGCTCTGATATACACACACACACAAAAAATAGAGAAGTTACATAAAGAAACACTTTTCAGTTTTTTTCTTATATATTTCATTATCTCCTTGGGAAGCTTTTTGTTGTATCTGAACCAAATTAAGTCTAACATTTCTAAATGCCTTTTTTCTATAGGCTAGTTCAGCACAAACATTGGCTAGCTTAGTTTTCAACAATAGTTGAGGTCAACTTCCTTTTTTGCCACATGCAGTTGAAAATAATTCTAATTTCCTTAGTGGAAAATTTATAGCTATATTTTATAATGGTTTTTTATATTATAATTGGCCTTGGATAAAGAACAAAATAAACAAATGTTATAAATAAAATAAAGGATGTCAGAGCAAAATTTCTTTTCATCTGTACTCTCTGTCAAAATTGTGAAACTATCAAACAATGCCAAAAGAAAAGAAGAAGAAAAAAAAGAAGCTGGCATAGTTATGTCTAAACATAATTTTGAACAATTTTGTCAGCATAACTGATTTTATTTGCTTGCAAATCTGCTTTTAAGTGGCAAATACAAAGCATACTTTCAAAATTTTAATGTAACAGCACATGACATCCATTTTTTACCTTGGATATTTTTTAAAAATATATATATTATAGTGAAAGTTCCCATAGTTTCTATTCTAATCTGAGATGCTAAGCAAGCAGTTATAACTGCCAGTCATCATGAGACAAAGATAAAAATAAACTAATGGGTCAGCAAATACTATTTTAATTAATTGAAATAATTATATTATGCATACTCCAGTCAACTTTATCAATATTAACCTTAACTCTTGATGCTACATGTGAATATGGTTAAAATGTAGAGAATAGAGAATGCTTTTTCATAACTGTTAAATAACTAGAACATGTCTTGCTTAATGAAACAATAATGAAGAGTTGTAACACTGGAAAAAAAAGCAATACAAGGCAAAGTTTATGTCGAAATTATCTGACAATGTCACAACACTAGAAAAAAAATAGCCTAAACCAACAAATATTACATAAGTGACAATGATTTTAGTATAAATTCTTTTTGGTGCTATGAGATAAATATGTAAGTAACTATACGCAATAATAACTCACTTGTTGTTTTGACTCCAGTCACAGCCAAAAACTGCAGCTGGGTGTTTGTACTTGTGGAGAATTTTGCCATCAATTGTCCGAATAATGCTGAATTACAACATGAAAAAAACATCAAACATTAATAGGGTTTTTTTCTGAGTATGCAACTAAAATTACTATAATAAATATTAAATTCCAACAATTCTTAGAAATATATAATAACAAAAGAAGACTATTCTATCAACCACATGAAACAGACCAAATGATCCTATAATGTGGATCATTCCTATGTGTGAATACATACAAATCATTCCTCTGCAGTATTGTTTATGCTACTGATAAATCTGTGTTATTACCTTTTTTCAAAGTAACATGCAATTCTACATCATAATCTTTTATTAGTCAGCATTTCATCAGAAAATATAGCCAGATTTTTTTAAGGCTGACAAGTAGATTAAGCAATGGAGCTCTAGATTATACTGAAGTAAGCATCATATTATGAAATTATGCCTATACAATAAACCAAAAGATGCAGGGGATATAAAATGGTGATTTAGAATCAGACAATCCCAGGTTCATCTTCAGCCAAGGAATCTTACTGGGTCAACTTGGGCCATTCATTTTCTTTCAATTCAACTTATCTGAAGACATACAAGTGCTGGAATTTTATGCCTCAAATTTTTTACACAATACACGTCCATTAATAGAGAAAATACCATTATTTTGCAGGCTGGTAAAAATGGCATTCAGAATTACATTCATTATCACATTATAAGACCACATTATATTACTGTTGATATCTAGATTCTCAGTGCAATTTAAAGCCAAAACTAAAGCTAGCTTTGGCTTTAAAGCCCTATGTTGCTTGGCACCAGAATACTTGCAGGATTATCTTCTCCTACCAGTTTTGATATATCTGATCATTGCAAAAAAGAGTTTCTGATAACCTACTTTCACAAGATGAAGCAGATACTATTTTCCTGTTGGTGTAGCTGCTTTTGAAAAAGTCTTTCCTCAGAAATTTGATCAACCCCACCCTGTTGCCTTTCATAAGGTAAAAACCTAACTATTTTACAAATATTATATCTGTACTGACATATTGTAAACCAACAAGACTGCAGTAGATGTAAGTCTACTAATAAAACAAACATACAAATAAATGAAATCTTTAACATCATATGCATATTTGGAAGAAAAACAACTTGACATTCCTGGACATGAAATTCCTTGTCAAGTTATCATTTCCTAAAATGCCATACAATTATGTATAATCAAGAATTATGTGGCAAATAATTAAACTCGTTTCAAATGAGACTTACCAGAATCCATCACCACTGCAGGTTGCTATCCTTTTGGAATCTTTATGACTCCATGCAATGCAGAAGATTCCATTCTTCCCATGCTTCAAAAAAATTTAAAATGCCCATCAATAAGAAATAGTTCATTCCTTTTTGTCTTATTTATCCATGTATCTACGAACCTTGCCCCTTGTCCTAGAAAGATCTTTATTACATATTGACTCTGATATGCTGATATGTCTTTCTCATTTCTCAACAGAGATATTTGATAGAAAATTTCGGAAAGTCCTCTATCTAGATTCTATTGTTGTGGTGAAGAGGTAGTGGAAGAAATGGCATGTTTTACTTTACTGTTTATTCAATGAAAGGCATTGTTATATTTTGTAATACCCTTATTAATAAAATGTGTAGGTTTTATATACAATTGTTTTATATACAATTATTTATATACAATTGTTAGCTAGCTAGTATGATTCTGTTTCTTTAAATGTGGTCAAAGGTTGTTTTATTGTCTGTAAAATCAATTACACTGAACACTTAGACATTTCCGTTTCTTATTTTATTGCCAATTTTATAATATTTGCATCATCTTTAATCTGATATGTTCTAACGTTTATGTTTTCTAAACAGAATACTAGTCATTGAATGGAATGAAGGACTGAGTGAATGACTGATTAACTAGTGGGGTGAAAATTCTTAAAAGGGAACATTTCTGAACATGCAAGAACATTTATATAACATTTCCTTTTAAAATGTGGAAGCAGTTCAATCTTTTTTTCAGGGAAACACAGCTGCCTTGGAAGCTGTTTCCAGTTATACAGGCATGCAAACACATGCGTAGCTGCTTCAATACGAGGAGGAAAAAATAATGAAGCATGGGAGGACTGTTACAAGCACAATCTGAAGCTACATATGGACTTGGAAAAAGAGCTGACTTCTTTAATTACTGGAACAATGTGCTTTATCTGTGTTTCCATATATTCTAAAGCACTTCTTTTGAAAGTTGTACATAGCGTTATAAATAACATTAGAACAAAATTATATGTACAGATCCCAAACTAATTATGGGATATTCATATATGCTCATTTATTAAATTTCTTAATAAAAATAATTTTAAAGTATATAATTGATTATTAAAACTTGGAATTTGTATGTCAGATGACATACAGTATATAATACTATCAAATAAATTAATATTTAAAATATAATTACTGATTAAATATGATAGTATTTTATTATGAGTTGCAGTGGTGGGCTTTAAAATACATACAGTATCCAAGCTTTACCAATATGAGATCCAGAAATCAACATGGCTAGCTGAAATTGCAAATATTTGACACTTTACAGAAGTTTTATATATTATATAAAGTGAATATTTGTAAACATGTAAGCCATATATAGTAAATACCTACTTTTTGACTATAATTTCAAAAATTCTAAATATAAATATGGATACTTAATGCTTTTTGCAGATATTTGGAGATATAAGCAGCATCTAATGACACACATTTAAGTCTTTATAACATATGCTCTGACATAAAATTAAGGAAGTTACATGTTTTTTTAACTAGACACATACATGTTAAAAATCTTATTGGATAGATTCTGGAAGTATAATTGCAAATCATTTCAATGACAAATGAGGGAGGAACATATTGGAAAACCATTGTGGATATATAAATGGCAGGGATGACAGGAAGGGATCATTATTTATAATTTAGTATATTAATCTCTAGCACTACTCTACAAATAATATTTTTCTCTCCCTTTCTGTGTACTTCTACCGACTTCCTATAAATAAGACCATTATATTCATCACATTCTTTTTCACCAACAAACAACCCCCCCAAAAAAAACCTCTAATGTGGTTAAAGAATTAAAAGTTTTTGATAGACTTAGACTATCTTTTTAAATTCGTCCTACTCCCAGTGATACTTCTTGGAGTATTGTCTCTCTATAAATATTCTTCTCTATAAATATACCCTACCTTCCTTAAGATGCTGGCATATGGACAGGTTTGCTTCTGATTTCTTTACTTTCAGAATGGGAATTAAATACCACCACCATGTTTTTTGGGGGAGAGAGTGGGGCAGCTACTCTGCTAAGCTCCTCTTTGCTTACTCAATGAGCTCACTGACAATGAGATAGTCCTTGACTTACAACTATTTGTTTAACAATCATTTGAAGTTACAATGGCACTGAAAAAAGTGACTTATTTACGACCAATCTCACACTTACAACCGTTGCAGTGTCCCTGGTCACATGATCAAAATTCAGGCACTTGGCATGTATTTCTGATGGTTGCATCATCCTGGAGTCATGTGATCAACATTTGCAACCTTCTCAGAGGGTTTCGTATAAGCAAAGTCAATAGAAGCCAGATTCAGTTTATGACTATGTGATTTTGTTAATAACCACAGTAAAGAAAGCTCATAAAATCAGATGTGACTGCCTTAACGACCATAATAAAAGTTCTGATTCAAATTGCAGTTGTAAGTCAAAGACTACCTGTATATGCATCCTGAAGCTTACTGAACTAATCCACAGCAAACAATGTTCCTATCACATGCAATCAGCAATCAGTAATATTTAGGAAATAGCCAGCAATAGCAATTAATCAATTGCTTTTTCTTCTTTATTACACTATTTTATTTGCCCTCTTTCTTGTCAGTTGAACTCCTTTGCCAAACTGCACTCCCTGGTTATTTCTTCAGTGGCCTGAAAGAGTCAGGAAACCATTGCTTTCAGTTTTCTTTGAACTACAAGCTATTCAAAGAGTCCCTTCTTTGAACTACATGGTCTAAAATACTGTAGCAATTGTCTAAATACTGTAGCAATTTGTTAATCAGAACAGAAAGCAGTTTTACACAGAAAAAATTACCATTAATACCATGTGGTATCTTTTTAATTTCACTTTAACAATTATGTTAGTAACCAACCCTTATATTAACTTGCCAGGGAGCCTTTAGAAAAGCTGCCAATCAAAACTCATTCCATTCACACTTTAAAAATAAAATAGAACACTAAATAAAGCTAAGTAGGAATTAATATCATGTGTAGCTATTATGAAATCTTTTAACTAGCCCTAAAGATATGCCAAAATAAAATAGATTTTTAACTCTCTACAATTTTTTTTCCTGAATTCCAATAAATAATTAGATTAGGCTAATACTTTAAAGCCCCTTAAAAGAAATCATAAAAGTACCATTATAAGTAATGGGTAAGGGCTACAGAGAACTCATAAGAACACCACAGGATATTTTGATATTCAAGCAAAACACAGTGATACTCAACATCTTTCAGATACTACACTGTGCAAAGAAAGCTGCATTGAGATGGCTACATTGAGTTATTCTTGTACCCTCTACAAGCTATTTTAGTTCCATTTCTTTAACAGGAAATTTTTGTCTCTTTTCATAAAAAACACAGTAAAATATTTAGGCTTTTTTTAGAGAAATACAGACACATTCATTCATTCACACTTAGTTAATAGGTTATTAGTACACTGTGTATAAATTGGCATAACATTTTTTGAATAATCATTAGTAAAAACAAGCAAAATAAAGAACTTACCTCACTGAAGCGAGTTATCATTTTGTCCCGTGACACATCCCAGATGAAACCACCATTTCTTGAAGTTGCACCAGCTATACAATTCAAGTCCCCTTTATAGAATAAAGAAATAAAAATACAGAAGATTCATTGTACACACATGTATCTTTCCTTTCCTATTTCAGTATCTTAGTCAATAACACTGTGAAAAGTAGACTTTCTTGAATTGAAAGTCCAGTTTTAAAGGGCACTTCTAACTCTACAAACTCATTCATAATCTTCTACCTGATAAAAGCTTCCTCTAATTGTTTGTTAGCAAGTTGTGCTCAGTTACAGAAGTGATGAATACACCATTAGAAGTTCTAAAGGACCAGTAGTGGGATTCAACCGGTTTGCACCAGTTTGGCAGAACCAGTAGCTAATTTTTTGTTGCCCAGGCCAAGAATGGACTTCCGGAAGCGGCATCCACACAGAGAACCGGTTGTTCACATATTTGAATCCTACCACTGTAAAGGACAGCACCTTCTGCAAAAATCTATCCCTGTGGTCACTGACTTGATGGCACATCAGCCTTCAATTTCTCCTTATACTGATACAAGATTTACGAAGTTGTACTATGTTCAGTTTCAAATGCACATTTCACATTATTAAAAAAAATAAGGTCAAAAAATCCATCTATTAAGTAATAAACAGGAAGAGTACAGTATTGTTTCGCCTTTCACGGTTTGCTTAGAACAATAACTTGTATTCTTAATCAATATACATATGTATTAACATTTTATGAAACTGGTATTCTTTTGCAATCAAGTTGAATAATTTACCACATTTCAATAATATTTTGTGATTATCCGTGTAATCCATAAAAGCTATTATTAATGTCCACAATATATTCCTAATATAATTAATGGTAAATTCTATTCTAAACCGAGTTCTACATTTTCTATGAACTAAATTTGTTAACATAATTATTGTGATGTCCCCTTTTTGCAGTTTTCTGTCAAAAGCATTGCTATGTACAGGTCATTATAATTTTATTCATTTATTAGGAAGCAATGACTGAAGAATTGAACTAGCTGTATTTATTGATATCCTGAACTCAATTGTGAACTTTAGCAAAAGGTAACATAACATATTGGAATATACTTCCCATAACATGCATAGATTGAACTGTTGCTAAATATAAACTTTATCACAAAATCCACTAAGAATATCTCAAGGGAATCTCTTGAAGGTCTAATGTTGGGGAATATTGCTAACATTGCAAAGTTAGCAATTAATGCTCTGCACATAGTTTTTTTGCAAAATATTAACACAGCTATCTCATTTTTTAGAAAAAAATATCTCCCACAATCAATTAGAATTTTCTTTTCAATTGTGTACCAAAATTTTGAAGGTTCAATATTCTCACCTGGAGCCCATGAAAGTGAATATATGACTCCCTCATTACCAGGAGAGGTACAGATAGCTGTTAAAGTAGTTATATCCCATATTTTTATTGTTCCATCAAATGATGCTGTAGCTAAAAGGTCAGGGTTATCAGGTTTGAATTTACAATCAAAGATGGTTTCAACATGACCCTAGAACAGAAATAAACTCTTTAGAACACTTCTTGTATACTTTATATACTTTCCTTTCTCCTAGTTTTATCTTTTAAAATAAATGCACCTTAAAGCAAAAGAAAAACCCTATTTATTGATTTTCATATTTCTAGGCTGCCCTTCATCCAGATTATTCCACACAGATACAATTAAAGTATTTTACCAGATCCAAATAATATGATGTTGTGGTCTTTCTTTTGGAATAAGGAATGTGTCATTTGGGATTGTACAAAGCTTTCCGTGAAATGCAAATATACACATACCTAGAGTTTTGTTAATGTCCATAAATATTGACGATTATTGTCACTGAGATACCTTGATTGACAGCATTTTATGTTTTTTGACAGAATACAATGCAATCTTATTCTTATGGACCATTCTGGGGAAGAAGACTTGTGTTACTTCTGAACATCCATTGAATATGGAAATATTTCAGAAATGTCTATAATTACTTAACTGACTAATTTAAATTTAAAATAAAATTGAGACTACTGCAGATTCAAACATTATTGCATTAATTTAGGGAGATGTCCAGATAGAAATTTGGTCTATTGAAATCCACTAAATGGGGCTTTGTATAAGATTCACAGTATCATCTGTTCATCACAGCAACCACATAGGTTCTTTCAATACTCTTGTAGATTATCATTCTATAAATTATGTTAACTTATTGCTGACAAAAGCTGCTAATTACTGTTTAATATCACGCTGGACACTATTCTTCCACTAAATTATTTATTATGTTTATCAAAATGGGGAATTATTTTAAAATATATTTCTTTCATTGTTTTTCTTTATGTGCTTTATTTGCTGGACTGCAATTTTTTTACAGTGTTTCATATATACAGAAATATTTTCTATTAGATAATCCATATCTTCAAGAATGACTACTATGGAAACATGTAGTGGTTATAGCAGGGAACTACCAAGAATTGTCTATTAATGATTCCTATAGCCAGATTGTAATGGAACTTTGGTGATAGAAACAACAGAATGAGGACTGGCATCTGTATACAAGCATGAGTTATATTGCACATAATGTTCTGATAATACTCTCTAGAATAAGATTACTTCACTATAAAATACAGCTGAACTGATCTGAATCTGTTATTAAGGTAAGAGAACAAACATACCAAATCTCTAAGAAATTCCCATTTCTTAGCTCCCATGTTATAAAGCCCTACTCCACCATCCATAAAACAGCAGACAGCATGTCCAGGGGGAAGTGAAAATGCTTGGTTCTGAGTTAGACTTGGAGGTGGAACAGCCTCACTTGTAGATGATGTATGATGATTTTTTGTACGAGACTGTGAAAAAAATGCTGAATGAAAAGGTAAAATATTATTAGCATAATTTCCATTCTTCTCCTTTAAATCTGTTGCTAACTATAGATAAAAAAATCTTCTTGCATAATATTTTACAATATTTGCACTAAAATTATTATAGTTGGAGAAAACTGTTAAATGTGAGACAGAAAAAAATAAGTCCCAGAAAATATATTTGATTGTTTTAATGAATTTGAAAAAATAGCCATTTAAGAACAACTATCAAAGAGATCAAAATTTGTGCAGGTATTGACACCCAAAGCTATACCTACTTGGCATTTAATTATAATCATTAATTAATTATAATTTAAAACTCTTTTTCCCTCCCAGTGTTTTTCCTACAGTTGCAGGGTCTTTTTTTCCATTTCAACCCTACATTAATCCATTGGTTCTGACAGAAATTGACCAACCGGCTTATCATCTAAGTCTGACTTCACAGGCTAAGAATGATTGGTCCAAAGTTATTGGCTCATTTTTCATCCTAAGGAGAACTAGAATTTACATGATTATGTAATAGAACTGGGATATGAATCATTCAGTCAGAAAATATGGTCTTAGCTCAGTGCAGAAACCAGAAATCCCCTATAGTTGCTTAAGTTAGTTACTGGACTCTGAAATAATAACAAATAATTTTTCTTCCAGCTGATAAAACAGAAGTTTAGAGAAGTCTTTGAAGAACTGGGTAATATTTACTAAATTACATAAGATATCTCACATCCCATTAACACTTGATCTATCAAAACACAGAGCATAGATTAAGAGAAGGTGATTATTTTCTGGGTTACTATTTTTACAAATAGTAAAAGTAACTCTTTGTAATAATAGTTACAACAATTTCAAAGGAATAATAATCAAGATATTAAATTATGACAGCAATTTGGAAATAAACCTCCGTTTGGTTATCAATGACAGACACTTGCAGATACAGAACTTTTATTATACACATTAGAAAACTACAACATGACATTACTTTTTGACATAATTACCATTCAAATTGAGGCACTTGTCATAATATCTTACAAAGTTTGAAATTCCTTAGTAGTAGTTGCTTGGCACCAATCTGGACTATGGAGAGGGGCGATCAAAAACGGAACCACTTCAAAAGTTCTTGGGTATGTCTAGCGGTGTGCGGGCGAGCATTATTGTGAACCAAACCACACCACATGCTCTGACACTTGTTATGGATGGCTCATCTGAGTTTTCGTAATGTTTCACAGTAGACATCTGAACTGATGGTTGAACCACATTCCATTAACTTCACTAGCAGTACTCCTTTGGCATCTTCACATTTGGCAGGATTTTCTATGGCACCACTTCTGGTGTGGTTCACAATAATGCTCGCCCGAACACCACTAGACACATCCAAGAACTTTTGAAGCAGTTCCGTTGGGATATACAAGTACGTTGATATTTTCAGAAAGGGAATTTGAAGTACTGAATAAACAACACTGACAAAAGAGAAAATCCTACACATTATTAAAAACGGAAACCACTTAATTAATAGAGGACAGAACTATGAGATAATGAATACTATTCTGATCAGGAAATCCATACTTTTTTAAATCATGTTATTATGTTACCAATAAACCACTCTATATCTTTAGCTAGAAACATGCCAAGCAAGAGGCTACTGAAAGGTTCTTGTTGGCACAGGGATGACTAGCAATAATGCAAGATCTTAATGACCTTTCCACTATTCTCATGTTTTTATTATGTCAGATGTATATCAAAACAAAGATTATTAAAGAATGTTGATGAAGAAGTAATTGACAAAGCAACACCAAAAACGTAAATCAATATGAGAAATGATGCAACATCTGGCCACTGGGAATAATTAGGAGAGGGAAACTCATTAACGTGTTTCTGGTTTACTTCACAATATATTGAAGTAGCAGTACAATACAGCAAAGAACGCGCCTGGGGATTTTACTATTTTGGATGGCAGGGAATACAAGTTCTGGAAGTATACTCAGGAGTTTCTTATAGGTAATTTTTGTTGATATTGTGAAGTCCTCTCCTAGCTAATTTAGTTTAAGAAAACAACAGATTTAACTGCTGCTTGTGGAAAGATACAAATTATTCAGCTAGAAGTGGCACTCACGGTGGTGACCTCTATCAACCTTTCCAAGCCAATCATGTCAGGAAACAAGATTCACAAATTTGGTTGGAACCATATCTATTCAGATAGACTATAATAAGAGAATCTTGGAAGTTTGACTACATGTTCCTTTCCCTTCTTAAATACTTTGAATTATCCTGAGCTTCTTTCTAATCTTTCCTATTTCCCAGGGTTAAAGTATGCTTTTGTAAAACTAACTATTTCTGCATAGCTTCTCAAAGATTATCTCTATGTTATCTATTTTTCTTTTTCTATTGAACTGTGTCCAATCTATACCCTCAGTTTTATTTAAAATCAGCAGGATGAAGTTTGGAAGGAATACTGGAATACTGAAAAAAATACTAAATAGAATGATAAGAGAAATAGGATGCTATAAAATGATTATCTTTTAATTTCCTAACTATCCAAAACAGTCCTTAAACCAATCAAGGATAAAACAAATCATAATGCCCTTATGCTATGATGTAATGCATGTAACCCCATGCAGAAACGCCTAGCAGGAAGTCAGGAACATGGCAGATCCTTTGGATCTCCAGACACTAAATAAAACATTAGATCTGCATTTGCAAATGTATGAAGGAGCAAAACATTCTTGTTTCTGAAGGGTCCTTGATGTTCTCCAAGCTTCTTCTTCTTTTTTTTTTTTTTTGCAGATATTTCATTACCCAAATTAGGTAATATTATCAGTAATAGTAGAAAGTGGATTTTGCTCTCATTTTATATTTTAATGGCTTTTCCTATTAGTCTTGATAGTAATTTGATTCAGCTGTTTACTGTTAGCTTATTTGGCAGCTCCTTAACTGGGGTCTTGCATGCTTCTTAATTGTTGGTCTAATATTAATCTTAGTGTTAATCTGTGCGCATCTGGGTGTTGATTGTGGTCTTTTTGTTCCCTTTTTGGCTTGATTGCCTTTTTTGAATGGTATATAGTATACAATAAATGTTGTTTATATCTATGTACCTGTTGAAAGCCAATTTGTCAGAGTGCCAGACTTCCAGGAATTTTCTAGCATTTTTGGACTTGGCTTGGTCTAGGATGGTCACAGTTTCCCAGTGAAACTATGATTAAGTCTGTCCATGTGTTGTGCAATTAAGGAGTTTTCATCATGTCTTCTGACTGCTAGTTGGTATTCATGGGTATGCTCTATTTATCTCCTGTCTATTTGTTCTATATACTGGCTGTTGAAATCCTTACATAAGTGGAAGATGACTCTTCTGGGGCTTTTGGTTTACTTAGGATGTTTTTGAGAGCTATAGTTAGTTTGTGTGCTACACTGATGCCATGTGGATGTAGTAGTCTGTTGGTGGTTTTTGAGATATTTTTTTTATATATAAAAAGTTTCATTGGTTTTTTCCATTTTTACAAAAGTTTAGGACACAACGTGGTGGTCAGGGTGTCAAATCATTCAAAAACAAAATCATATAAGTATAACTCAAATTAATTATCAAAAGTTTCCTCTCTGTTTCCTAAATATAATATTACTTATTAAAATTAATACAGTTTTAGATAAAATTCAATCAAGCAAAAATCCTCAGTCACATTGTGATTATAACAATCTATATCCTGTTTTTAAACTTTACTAATTACAGTTCTCATACTCCAATTACGTTTTAATGAACATATAATTGGGATTTCAGGTATCCTTAATGATAGATCATTCACTGAGACTAATTTTTTCCCTATCACAAATAGCTCTTCCTCTCTCTCTATTACAGCCTAGTTATCATATTTAAAATAGTAATATAAATCCAACAAATACAATTCCATTTTTGAGAATATATTCTGTCATTTCATCAATCTATATCTACAAAAAAATCTTTTAACCCCTTTAATAAAGCTTACACTTTCAAATACTTATCAGCTATAATATCAGCAAATTCCCATCATTCATTCATCATTAAATCAGACAAAATCTCTCTCTCTATTGCAACATAATTATCATGTTTAAAATAATAAGTCCAAAAATACATTTCTATTTTTTTAAATATATTCTATCATTTCATCAGTTTACGTCTATAAAATCTTTTAAACTCCTAATAAGGTTTACTCCTTCAAGTAATTATCAACTATGATAACAATAAATTCACATCCTTTATTCGTTATTAAGTCAGACAAGACTTCTAAAGCCTTTTTAACCCATCAAATAACATTTTATGTCATGTTTAAACCTAACTCTAGCTTTCTTTCTATGCCAAGTTTGTTCCCATATTAAAACTTTTTGGTTATCAAGCCTCAAAATTTGGTTACAAAAATTTCTGACCAATTCAAACTGAACAAACTTTTCTTCCCTTTTGCCAATATTATCTGAATGTTATATTGACCTTTATTCCATGTTATAGTTAGAAATAAGTTATCCACTTTATTGTAGTTTCCAAAGGATCACATCTGAATGTCAATCTGTGTTATTTTTAATAGTTGAATTAAGACAATTACAATTATTTCTTGGTCATCAAAGTTATTCATCAGTTGTAGGTAATGTTGTGTAGAATTAGTTGGCTCAGTGATTTCCACGTTTTCTCCCAGTGTAGTTTCACAATTGGGTTGTAAGTATAGTGTCTCTGATTCTTTAAATTGTATATCTTGGTGTGTAAAGGCCTGTTCAGAATCACTCTGTTCTTCCTCTATTGTTCCTTATTCTATAACTTGATTCATTATTAGAGGGTCAATTTGAGGTTCCAAGGTAGCATCTTTAAGTTTTCTCCAAGGTTTCAAATAAGTTTTGAAGTCTTCTGCCAATTCTTGAATTTTTTCCAGTATTAAATTGTAGTCAAGATATGGATAACTTTCTTCCATTTTTGGTGGTAGAGTAGCCTGTTCCTTTATTAGAGACTATGTTTGAAAAAGATCCACAAATGTCCCCCTCCAAAGCTTCACCACCCAGCTGTCAGGTTATCTTTATTCTTTTGTTATCAATAAAAGTCCAATCCCTCTTCAAATAACAAAGAGAAGTACAGTTGCAATGTTGCTTTTCGCTACCAGACGTTCTCAATGGACTGTAGAGTCTTTTTTCCAAGTTAATAAAGTTAAAGAAAAAAAAAAGTTTTTCTCTTTTTTTAAAAAAAAAGTTAACAAGAGAGGTATCTCCAGCATTATAAAATTGAAAGTTAACAGTGTCCTTTTTTTCTTCTTTTCCCCTAAATATCCCCCCAAAAAGTCCAATAGTAAAAAAAAAAACCAAAAAAACCCCCAAAAAACTTTTAGCTCTTTTTCCCATATAGGCAGCCACCGCTTTCTTAGAAAAGGGAAATAGTCAAAAGCTGTTTACAGGAAAAATCAGAATAGCGAGAGAAGGAAAGGTCTCACCCGGATTCACACAGTGGTTCTTCATGCTTAGATGTTCTTTGACTTGCGGTTGGTGCAGCTGGATGATCGGCCATTTTACTGGCCGATCTTCTTCTCTGTCGGCCCTCAGAGTTAGCTCGGACAGCTGGAGGAGCCGCCGTTTCTCCGCAGCCGAGCACAGCCTCCTTGACGGTAGTTGCGTCCTCCAGGGCGACTTTCAACCCACATAAGGGTCTACTGGTGGAGGGAAGCTAGCTTACGAGGAGACTCGTCATGCGACTAGAGGCGCCGCGATCCGGAATCGGAAGTCCTGAGATATTTTTTTAATGTTTTATTGATTTTTAAAAATTACAATCTTTAGTGCTTAGTAAACAACATGTTGTCTGGGTTCACATATTTAACATTAATTTCTTCAATATAAATCTGTTCAGTGCTGCACAATCCAGTATTTTTTCCCTGATCCTTTCTTCCCCATATTTCTTCCATTTTCCCCTCATTACAGTGTTACAATTCTTGTTACTATTGATGTATACAAGTTTAGCTATAAACATCCTCATCATCTTTTACTAATATTGTACAAATAACAATATCAATTCATAAATCAATATCCTGTTTTCATGCTCTTGTTAAGGTTTGATTTCCTATCAGTATTTGAAATATTAGTTATGGTTTTCTCAATATTAATTACACTTATATAGCTAAATGTTTCATACCAGTCATCTTCTTATTTTCATATTTCCCATATCAAGAAAAAGAAAAAAAGAATGCTATTTTAATTCTAAATCATATGTTTTATTATAAAAGTCTAATTATATCTAGGGGTCATCCATTCTCTTAATTATATTCAAATATTTAAACATGTAATGCCCCCTCTAATGGGTCAAATCTTCTGTTTTTTAAATCTAACTCTCACTTTCTTTCTTTGCCAAGTAGCTTTCCAAGCTAAGGTAATTAAATAACCCAGGAATTTCTTTCCATTTTTGTAAAAGTTGCTTGGCATGAGGAAGACAATTTAGGTAGGGTATTTGGGGGGGGGGAATTCTGCCCATTTATATTCCTTAAGGAACTCCCACTTTCTTTCTCCCTCAATTTTTCTTTTCATTTTTTGTCTCCCAAGTTGTGACATTTCTCCTGACAGCTCTATATTCCATTTTTAAAAATCTTCTTCCTTATCATCAGATATATTTTGCAGACCTAAGGGGTGAAGCATCTTTTCCATTTTCATTGTTATGGCTAAGTCTTGCAGTATTTTATATGTACATGGTAGTTTGTATTTCCCTTCTTTTATCTCTTCCGTCTCCAGGTCCATTTCCTCTGCTTCATCTTCTGATTTCTGGTTTATTTGTTTATGCTTTGTAGTCATTGTCTGGGAATTTTCTAGTTGTAAATTTAATTTGGAGATTTGCTCATTTATATTATCTAAATTGTTTTTAGTCTCATTATGGTTTCTTTCTGTGTCCTCTTTGTGTGCAACAATTGTTTGTTGAATTAGTTGTAGCATAGAGTATATTTCCTTCTGAAAGGTGTTTATTTTTTCTTGAGACATTATTCCTGGAGATCCTCTAGTACAGGGGTCTTCAAACTTGGCCCTTTTATGACTTGTGGACCAACTTCCAGAATTCCTCAGCCAGGCATGCTGGCTGAAGAATTCTGGGAGTTGAAGTCCACAAGTCATAAAAGGGCCAAGTTTGAAGACCCCTGCTCTAGTATTACCAATCTTAATAAGAGTAGAACAAAGTTTCATCTAGTTTTCTAGTCTTTATGTGTAACCTTTATAATCCAATAGGTTCCAGAATATGGGTCCAGTCCTAAAAGCAATATTTTGTAGTGATCCTTTGTCTCGGGTGTCCAAGAACTGTCGGTCAGGCAAGGTTGTAATCCACAATGTTTAAAGTATTCAAAATGTTCAACCATCCTGAAACCAGCTCAAAAGTCTCTCCCAGCCAGACGTAGTCAAAAGACAAGTTTTTCTTTCTCTCCCAATAGTTCTTGAGATTAAAAGTCCAAACTCAATAGATGTTTATAGTCCAAGAAGGTCAGGGTGATAAGTATATCAAAATATTTTCCTTCATTGCCAGCTGTTCTCCCTTAAGCTAGGAATCACCAAGCAGGCAAGAAGCTAGTTGTAGTGCTATACTCAAATCCACCACTAGATGTCATTCAAAATCCATTTTCCATTCGTAAGACAAAAGATTGATTTCTTATATTTCACCTCAATGATTTTTTTCAAAGAGAAAATCTTAACAATTTTCTCAGGTCTCAAATTTATCAAAACTGTAGCTTTATTTTACTTCCACTTCAGTATTATGTATTTCTGTCTCCCATAAAATAAATTAAAATGCCGCTTCCATTCACATTCAGAGGTTTTAGCTTTTTGGGAGCCTTTCCCAGGGAATTCAGTTGTAAATTAGTAAAGAAAGGATCAATATTCTCACCCAGTTCCAAACATGTGTTTACGATGCTAATTAGTGCTTTGCTTCTTCAGTTGTTAGCAACTAATGGCTGGCCACATGAATGTAGCCAGTCTTTCCCACCTGTTTGGAGGGCTTTCCTTGGATCAAACTGAAAGACCACCATCTCTCCATGATCAACGAGGCAATCCTCCTTCTTCATCGCCTCTTCGGAGTGACTTTAGGCCCTTTTAGGGCCCCCAACAGGGAGAAATTGGGTGCGGAAGGCAGCGTGCTTTTAGGGCCCCCAACAGGGAGAAATTGGGTGAGGAAGGCAGCTGCCTTCCTGCATCTGTCTTGCTGCGATGCAAAACCGGAAATCTCTGAGATATTTTTGATATACTACATGGTGCTGTTATCATTTTCACAGTTTGTATTGATTGTGCTATATTGAGTTGAGTTGTCAGGCACTTTTTAATTAAGTTGTGTAAATATCATTTTGTTGGAAGATGTTGTATAGATGATGTTTTCTTTTCCTGATGTTCAGGGTTGCTGCAGTGGGTTTGTGTTTATCTGAATGGTGTTCTTACACAACTTCTTTTGTGGGATGTTGGGTGGTTCCTTTGACAGTGGAGCACTTGGTTGGTATGTGTGGTTTAATGATAACCTAGTATTTCTAGTTTGCCATTGCTGTCTCTGCTAATGAGGATATCCAGGAAGGATTGTGGGTTGTTGTTTTCCTTTGTGCATTTTATACCTTTGAATATTTGTTGATAGTTGTTTGTATGTTATCTACTTGGTCTTGTTTCTGGAAACTGCAGAGCTCCCTAAGATTTTGGCTACCTAAAATGCAAGTGGCAATACAAGCACAACAAAGCAACATTTCTTTTTCTTTTGTGTGTTAGACCTTTCAGAGACAAGATGGAACAAAATGTACGATGCTGTACACAGTGATCAATAAATGTTACTATCCGAAAGCATTTTGATAAGTTAAATTAAATAGCTTTCTAACATTATAGTTTAATGTTATATGAACAGCACATCTGAATGAAACATTTCATAAAATTCCATATGCAGAAAGGCTCTGCAATACTTAAAAAGGTAATACAGTACAATACTCATATTCTGTTGTACTGCATTTTTCATCGAGACATACCTTTTAGCAGATCTTCTAACCACATTTGCAGGATAAACTGACAAATTTTATGTTCCATTTTTACTGGCAGATAAGAATTCTAAGGTAACATTCACCATTGCAAAATTTGTTTTTGCAATTTGTAAAACTCACGTACAGTATTGGTATTGATGTAGTAAATTAATGCAAGATTGTTTATCTCATATGGCTTATTCTATTTTAAATATTATATTTTATAACCGTGTTCTCTACATTTGATAACATTTTATTTAGTTTGGGTGACTCACCTGTAATAAGGAATTGATTTTTAATGATTTTATCGATACATTACAAGAGAAAGATGTATAATGCCTTTGAATGACTCTAAGAACTGCTTTATATGCAAGTTCTGGTTGTTTCAGAAGAACTATTAGACATTAATTGGTCCATATTTTGTTGCCATACAGAACCACTTACGAGCTAAATGTTAGGTTCATTGATCTGGCACACAGCTTTCCATGAATATGTTCAAATCAAAAAATAAATATGTATACTTACTATTCTTCTTTGGAGGAGAACTAAGTACATGTAGGCCATGGAAACCCGTTTTCTTCAACTTAAAGTTATCTATTGGTGTTGTTCGTGATACATTCCAGACACGCAATACACCAACCTGAGAATCTATATTAAAAAAAAGATTAACTTAATTTTTAATAAAATAATACAATGCAATAATTAAAAACAAAAGACAAAAATCTAATTGGATTTTTAATTAGCATTAAGCATGACTTCAGAAATAGAGACTGAAATATGGTAGAAAAATTCTGCTTTCAGTATCATTTAATATTATCCATCTAATGCAATTTCTCTCCCAATGTACATATTGTCCACTTAATGCCAATTTTTACCCAACATTCTGAATTCCCCCCATCAGATTTTATTTTCTAGAATCAGACTAAAGGTAAGAAAAAAGATAATGAAAGAAAAGCTTTCATTGTGAAGGAAGTGATAGTGACGTCAGAAAACTAACTAGCATTTTAAAATATTAGATTTATCCTTGCTTTTACATTAATTATGCAATTACTTTGATAATTTGGTAACAAAGTTAATCTACTGAGATAAAAAAGTTTGTTGTATACCCTGCATACTATGTTACTATAATATAAATGGAAAAAAAAATGTTTGTACCTCCAGTGATAAACATTCCAGGTGCACGAGGAACCCAAGCTAAGCACTGCACAGATGCTGCTGCACTAGGAAGATTAAAGGCTGTGATATAGGAGAAAGATTCTGAATCAACAAGACGGATTCCATTATGCAAATTTGCAACAAGAAGATAATCTGTTGACAGAGGGTCCCATTCAAGAGCAGTGATAGGATTTTCCTCATCTGTCCCTTCAAGTGATTCTGGTTTCAGAATATGTTTCTGACTCTTACAACCTTGAAAAATAAAAATATGCAATGTATCCATTTACAGAGAAAAATTCTATATACAGAATCACTGTGTTCAAATAGTTATACTTGCATACATTTGAAATATAAATATGTGAACTAATTTTCAATATACACTGAATTGGTTTCTCCTCCAAATCATGTCCCAACAGAATAACAGTCAAGTAAACATTATGAACTTCCATGCTGAAAATATAGAAGGCTTAGTATAGGTCAGTAATGGCAAACCTTTTAGAGACCGAATGCCCAAACTGCAACCCAAAATCACTTATGCATCGTTGGATGTCGGGTGGATGTGGCCCATTGGCTGGGCGTGGCTGCGGTGGTAACGGCAGACAGGGTGGGACTAAAAAGTTCAATCAATCAATCCCAACTTTGCAAGAAGAGAAGTTGAAATTGACTGATTGATTGAACCTTTTTTTTTTGCACATGGCGGCAGAGCCCTAAAGCGAAAAGGTTTAATAAAACCCAGCTGAAGGCCTAGGACTGGGGCAACGGCACGCGTGCCCACAGAGAGGGCTCTGAGTGCTGCCTCTGGCACCCGTGCCATAGGTTCGCCACCACTGGTATAGGTACTCGTCAATTTACAATAGTTCATTTAGTGGCCATTCAAAGTTACAGTGCCATGAAATATGTGACACGATCATTTTTCATGACCATTGCAGCATCTCCATGGTCACGTGATCAACATTCAGCAACTATCAGGAGTCATATTTAGGAGAGTCGCAGTGTCCTGGATCATGTAATCACCTTCTGCAACTTTCTGATAAGCAAAGTCAATGGGGAAGCCAGATTTACTTAACAAATGTATTTACTAACTTAACAACTGCATTGATTCACTTAACAACTGTTGCAAGAAAGGTCATAAAATGGGACAAAATTCACTTAACAACTGTCTCACTAAGCAACAGAAATTTTGAGCTCAATTGTGGACATACGTCTGTCTACCTTATTGCCCTTTTTTTCTTGGATGCCTCCATTGGTGATAGTTGCTATAGAGATCTAATTAGTTAAAATAAAGAAAACATGTTGAATAAAATGCTAAATACTAATAATTAAAAGACATCCTTGCATCCATTACTTATTTAGTAATGACTCAGTCTTAAATTACAGCACTGAAAGAGTTTGGAGGGTTTTTTTGTTTTTTTATTTTGAATAGACAAAACAATACTTGCTAATGCTGAATTCATGATAGGAAAGTACAATCACTTAATTTTTAACTAATACCTTAGTTAGTTTAACACATGCAATTCTGCAGCAGCATGTTACATTTGCATGATTTTTCCCCTATTTATTTTATTTTACTATATATATTTGCAGTGTATTCTTCCTGCTATACGTGAGGAATCCCTAATACAATATGTACACATACATTAATGGAAGAAGGTAGTTTCATATGCAATCCTCTCCTCTTCAAGGGACTACCACACTTAAACAGTGCTTCATTACCTACTAATCTACTGTAGATTACAGGCAATTTAAAAATTGAATCCTGAAATAGTAGTATTTTTACATTTCTATCTATTATAAGTCTATTTTTAACATAACATGATTTCAAATTTTGCAGGATATCTGGCTTTTTCTATCAAATCTACATGTTTCCTCCCAGATGTTTGTATCTAAAAAGACAGATTATCTTTAATAATAAAGAAAAATGTGATCACACATCTCTTTTTTAATGTTTTAATATGTTTTATGGTTTTATAATTTTGATATGGTTTTGTATTGGGAGCCACTCAGAGTTGGTTATAAGATGGGAGGCTAAATATTGATCCATAGTGAACAATCTGGATTTATAACTGGAAGATATATGAAATATAACGTAAGACAAATTGTTAACCTAATTGAGTATTTGGATAAGAATAATCAAATCCCTGCAGCTTTGATATTTTTGGATGCTGAAAAAGCTCTTGATCAATTAAATTGGTAATTTTTATTGAGAGTTGTAGAGAAAATGAATTTTGAGGATAAATTTTTGCATGCTCTTAAGGCTATATACCAACAGCAATCGGCACAAATTATAATTAATGGAGGATTAACAGAAGCATTTAAAATTGAAAAAGTTACTAGACAAGGATGTCCACTATCCCCATTGTTGTTTTAACAATGGAGATTTTATTAATTAAAATTCGTGAATCAACTACAATAAAGGGAATAAAAATAAAACAGAATGATTATAGGTTGAGAGCTTTTGCCGATGATTTGGTTGTGACATTATCTCAACCGACAGATTCAGTAAGGGATTTGGTGGAAATCATAACCTAGTATGGGAAAGTTTCCGGTTTTAATGTAAATAACAATAAGACTAAAATACTTTCAAAAAATATGTCTATGAAGGAAAAGGATATGTTAGCTCAGTGGTTCTCAACCTGTGGGTCGGGACCCCATTTGGGGTCGAATGACCATTTCACGGGAGTCGCCAAACAACGCAGTCCGCCATTTTTCCCCCCCCCCTTTTCCTTAGCTGTGCTACTCCCTTTTATTCTATTGGCTTTTGAAAGCCAATAGAATAGACTCTCTTGAATAGAGTCTAATTCTATTGGCTTTCAAAAGCCAATAGGAATTGTCCAGGCTGTCTCTGCCCTGCTGAGCCCGCCAAAAGTCCCATTCTGCAAACAGTGCTGCACCAGTTGAGTAGTCCTTGACTTATGATCGGTTGAGTAGTCCTCAACTTATGACCGGTTGGGGGGGGGATCGTGGCATTAAAAAGGTTGAGAACTACTGTGTTAGCTAAATTAACAGATTTTGAAATAGTGAAAAAGGTTAAATATTTGGGAGTTTACATTACAGCTTCTAATGTTAAGTTGTACAAAAATAATTATGAGACATTATGGGTAAAGGTGCAAAAGGATTTAAATGATTGGAAAAAAATTACAGTTATCTTTGTTGGGGAGAATCTCAGCGGTTAAAATGAATGTTCTTCCAAAATTTCTTTTTTTGTTCCAAATGATACCTATTTTGAAAAAAGATGCCAACTTCGAGGAATGGCAGAAGGATATTAATAAGTTTATTTGGGCAGAGAAAAAAACCGAGAGTTAAGTTTAAGTTTATACAAGATGCACGGGAAAGAGGAGGACTTAAGGCACCTAATTTAAAATTGTATTATGATGCGGTGGCTTTAACGCTGATTAATGATTGGCTTAATTTAACAAATAAAAATATACTTTTTCTTGAGGGATGGGATTTATTATACAGATGGCATGCATATTTAATTTATAATAAAAAAGTAGATCAGGTTTTTAAATCTCATATTTTAAGAAACGCTTTATTACGTGTCTGGAAGAAGTATTATTATAGGTTAAATTATAAAATTTCAATTTGGGGGATTCCTGGACACGTGATAGAGGGGGTATCTAGGGGAGTAAATTTGGATAGGATTTCTTATAAGGAATTACTTAGTTTGGTAGGGAAGGATTGGCAATTAAAACCTTTAGCTGAGTTGAAGCAAGAAAATATTGTACACTCTTAGTTTCAGTATAATCAATTGTTAGTTAGGTGAAGTTTAGATCAAAAGGTTGGTATTACTTTAGAGGATGCGAATTTGGTAAAACAGATTAAAGATCAAACTCGAGCCCATATAAAGAGAATTTATAATATTTTAATAGAATTGGATTCTGAAACAGAGTTAGTTAAAGACTGTATGGTAAAATGGGCACAAAATATTCAAGAGCCGATTCTATTGGACACATGGGAGACAATTTGGGTTAGAAATGTAAAATTTACTCAAGCTCAAAATTTGAGAGAAAATTTTTATAAAATGTTTTATAGGTGGCATTTGGATCCCCAAAAATTGTCTTGTATGTATCCTAACTTGCAGCCCAAATGTTGGAGATGTGGTAGTTTGGATGCAACTTACTTTCATATTTGGTGGACTTGTAGAAATATAAAAGCTTTTTGGATTAAAATTTGGTGGAACATTCAAAATATTTTTAGAAGAAAGATAAAGTTTACTCCTCAACTATTTTTGTTGGGTATTATTGTAGATTTTAATGTTAAGGAAACTAATTTGATGTTGAATTTAATAACAGCAGCAAGGCTGTTGGTAGGACAATATTGGAAGAAAGATTCCTTGCCGACTATAGAAGAATGGACCCTTAAGGTCTCAAATTTAGCAGAAATGGCAAAAATTTCGGCTTATTTGAAGGATCATTCACAAGAGAGATATATTTCAGTTTAGAGAAGATGGATAGATTATATTCAGAATAAATACGGGACTAAAAAGTTTCATTTATTTTATGAATAAATTTTAGAATATTATTGTTATTAATAGTTTATTATAGTGAAATTTTTATTATATTGTATTGTTTATGAATTAGGATTTTAACTTGTTTATATGATTAAGTTTATTTGCAAATTGTTTATTCTGTGTTAAAGGGGAGTTAAAGCGCATTATATTTGTTTATCTATATAGTTGGTTAAGTTAGTTAGATTATGATTATTATATTTGTTACCCTGTATTCAGTTCTGGGAAGTGGGGGAGGGGAGGGGGGAGGGTGGGTGGATTTGGGGGTATATTTTGTAATTTTTGTAAAACTTTTTAATAAAAAAAGATGGGAGGCTAAATAAATGTTTTAAATAAATAAAAATACATAAATCAATATGTTATAAAAAGATTATATGTAAGAACTCAAATATAGAAATGCATCAATTTTGTACCGGACGAGAACAAATGAATTCAGATGATTTTAGTAAACATTCCTCTATTTCAGAATACTGAAGAATATGGGCATAATAAAAAATGTTGCCTGAGAAAATAGTTAAAATTAAGTTGTTATGGAATATAAGCTATCATATGCACTATTTCCAAATCATTCTAATGCATAGTAAGAAAACACACAACTCAAAGGATCATATCAGGCGAATTTAATTTCATTGTCAAGTGGATTTTATGCATATGTACCTTTGAGTCAATGTTGGCTGCTAGCAACTGCAGGACTAGACACTGCAGTTTTCTTGGACAAGATTTTCAGATATTGTTGATCACTGCCTTCTTCCTATGGCTGAGAGAGAATCATTGGCCCAAGGTCACCCAGCTGATCTAAGGCAGGATTAGCATTCCTGGTCCTCCAGTTTCTAACCTGGCGCATTAACCACTATACCTAACTAGCTCTCTTGTTTCAGCGTCAATTGTTGCTGCTGTTCAGTCGCTAAGTTATGCTTGACTCTTTGTAACCCCCATACACCATAGAATGCCAGCCCTCCTGTTCTCCACTGTCTCCCTGAGTCTGCGCAAACTCATGACCATTGTGTTGATGAAACTACCTAACCATCTCAATCTTTGCCATCCCCTTCTCCTTTTGCATTCAATCTTTCCCAACATCAGAGTCTTTTCCAATGGTGGCCAAAGTTAGCCTCAGCTTCAGTATCAGTATCTGTCTTTTCAGAGGACAGTCAGGGTTGATTTCCTTTAGGATTGACCAGTTTGACCTCTTTGCAGTCCAAGGGACTCTCAAGAGCCTTCTCCAACATTACACATCATCACTGTCAATATCAACAGCCAATTAATTACATTTTTATTTGTACATTTTATTTGTATACATTTTGACAGTATGTTGACAGTAAGCATATATGCTACTGGCATTCCAAATTTTGTGAAGTCTGTTAGACTATTGAAATCTGGTGACATCTTAATCTAAAATGATTGCAAGAATGCATGGCATTGGGATTTTGAGTGAAGGGAATAAAATTTGAAAAAAAGAAACCATCTAAGAAATTATCTCATAGTAACAGCTTTCTTTGCTCTAATCAGATGCACTGACTCTTGCCTTGGCATAAAGTTTCTTACCTGGCTGAAAAAGAGAAAGACTTCCATCAGTATGACCAAACACTACTTTTCCTTTTCTCTTGGGATGCCATCTAAACAGACAAATATCTGACATAAAACTGTGAGCTTCATTATGTACCACTACACCACTCTCTGGCCCTGAAAATGTCCAAATATATAATGGACCTCTATGCGAGGCAAATGCAACAGCATCACCTATATTCCAGCACCAACTAAGAAACGCAGGGATACCTGAAATATAAAAAGATATCAAATAATTGAGAAAAACACATATTTCCAAATCCCCAGAATCAAGCATCCTCTTTTTCACACTACTAAAGAGAGTTTGTAACTTTTCTCTTAGGAAATGACAGATAGGAAACAATATTTTAGATATATTGTCTAAATATACCAGCTTTATTAAATAAAACACAAAGAAAATTAGATCTATGATGATCTATTAGTTCACAATTATTTCTGCTTTGCTATAAATTCTGAGATATAGATTAACTTAAGATTTCCAAGCAAAATGCATTTTGAAGAGATTAAAAAAATAGCACTTTTCATGACTGTTAAACTTCAAGTAACCATTCTATAGGAGTTGGATGCAAAACAGTTGCTGTGAGTAGACAGGCAGAGGAAAGATCTATACTTTACTGCCAAATAATATTATAAGAAAATACATCAAAAAGTTCAGAATCAGGAATCAATTACAGTGAATATTTCTATAGCACAGTAATAAAACACAACATTATATTGTACCATATAATGGAAAACAATCATAATTGTTTTATTTCATATTATCCTACCAAAAATAAACATGACTATTTATCAGCACAGGGGGGGGGGAAGCGTGGCTCTTGTTTTTTTATCATATAATAATAATACTATACCAGGGCAGTGATAGGTTCTTGAATATATTATTCTGAAAGGAAGTTACATGCAAAAATGCATTCTGTTTATAGAATTTCTTTTTTTATGTATGCAAACTGATCAAGCCTAGCTTTTGCTAAAAGATAAATTACTTGACTTCTAATTACCATCTGTTTATCCTGCTCAGTGTTCCGCTAGGGGAAAAAAACAGTCATGTTCTCTCATTCCTTTTTTTTTTTTAGTTTCTTTTGCTGAATCAAATTTCTTTAAATCAGAAGAGTAACTTTGCATTAAAGCCATGGTGTATAGCACATGATAGCTTTTGCTGTAAATAAATGTTAATATTTGATTTATATCATACCTTTTGTATTGTGCAATTTGGCAGCAATTTTTTGTTCAGCCACATTCCAAATTATTACTAGGTTTTCTGCACTTGCACTTGCAAAGAGATCCTGATTATGGGGACACCAAGAAATAGCTGTGATGATCTTCTTATGTTCAGACATAATTGCCCATAACTTGAATTCATTATATCGCTGATCCAACTAAAAATTTAAAAATACAAAAAAGAATTAAATTCTTTTACATCAAATATTTATCTTTCTATATTAATAAATATTAAAATTAAATAGCATAGAATCTATTTTGCTGGGGAAACATTCCTTTCTCTATTTTCTCTGCATCTTCTATCTAGAATATCTTTTCAGAGACTCAAAGTGTGATCCTGAGCCATATAGATTACAGAAACAGAAAGAGATAGCTCACCTTAGTTCACCTATTTTAGGTTTCTCATTCATTCTACAGAACCAGTCACATGGTTCAGAAGAGTCTCCTTACTAAAATAGGATGCATTTTAAATTGGTATTATTATAATATTTTCTACAGAAATAATATGGATTGAAAAAATGTCTAAATGATCAAGGATAATTTTAGCAACAGTTATTTTTAAAAATTATAAAATATAAAATTATAAAACAGTATACTAAATACTTGTATACTAGCAAGAAAAGAAAGACATAGAAAGAAAATCTAAAATGTTTCTCACCTGATATATATAAATAGCCAGGGTTGCACAATAGGCAAATCTATCCCCACTAGCTGCACATACATCTTTATTCCATGGTTGACAGCCAGCTGCTAATAGACCCACTTGCTTAACCTGTGCCATTTTTGCCTAAAAAATAAAAAGAGAAGTCTAATAAACAAGTCTAGAGTAAATCCCACTGAAATCTGTAAAACTTACATTTGGAAAGTATTAAACAAGGATTTTCAGGAAATGACTTCAAGGCAAATACTTCAGTTATTCATTTTCTATAAATCAGATTTAAGATCTATAAAAATTGTATTTATATACAATATCATATTAAGTTCTATATATGCTCATGATTATTAGGCCTTCAATTCAAGAGAATGTAGAAATGGTAAATTAAAGACTCAACTTTTGAATAAAACAGGGATAATTACTGTACATTCCACCACCAGCTGCTCATACAAAAGGCACATCTTCACTTTGACACACACATTTTTTAAAACTATTTCATTGAAGTTTTTTATTACACTTAAACTGAAAAGTGAATGTCTTATTAATTTCTATCAATCCTTATACATGCACACAAGAACACTGTGTTTTTTAAAACACCAGAGAACTCAATGCTAAACATAAGCAATTATTCCTTTCATAGGAGAATTTTAGCAGCTGCTAAGTAAGAATAGAATATATACCCATATGAACTTTTACATACTATCTAACTGCACTGAATTCATTTCATCCATTATTAGATTTGGTCACCTAACACTAAATGAAAATACTAAGTCCACTTTGGCTTGAAATTCACAGAAAGAAAAGAAATTTAAAGTAAAAAATGCATGTATAATCAACAAATCGATAATTTAATGTGGTACTATGGAAAGAACCTTGGAGGTAGTGCCTTATGGTTCCCAATTGTGAGCAGTTAAAATATTCCCTATGCCAGAGTAGCCAACTATTTCTTAATGATAACACATACTTTAAAGAAGAAATCTGCAAAATCCAATTAGTTTTGTCAGTCCAAAACTCAAAAACACTGTTCTGTTCTTAGACTCCATTGACCTTCCTTCCTCATTATGGAAAATAAAGCAACAAGACAAACTATATTTATTTGACTTTTATAGTATACACTTGATAATTTCACATATACACTGGGGTTATTTAAACAGAAAGCCAGGAAAAATATTTATTTAAACAAATGAGAGCACAATTTGTTATTTTTCCCTTATAACCCAATATTTAGATATCATGGTAAAGTTAAATAAATCTGATACTATAATTTATTATAAATGTGTTAACTGGATTGAATGGACTGTTGGTTTTTGGTATGTGAATGGTACTAAGTTCTAAACACATAATGAAAGAGCTATTTCAGAGAACTCTAAATATTTGAAAATTTACCAAATGATTTTTTTAAAAAGTGGGTTCGAACCCAATATTTAAATCAAATAGATCACAAATCTTGAATTACTACTCAACATTATAACTTCATACTAGGTTTTAGCTATAGTCAAAATTACAATATAGTGTAGGAAGCCACCCTCCCCAGATTAAGATATTCTTTATTCTTAATATTAATAAGGTGACCAACTTTTTTACAATGTAAAGGAGGACACAAATAAATTGAAGAAAAAAATATCGTAAATAAAAGAAACATTTTATTCATTGCAACAATAATACAGAATACACTATAATATGATAAATGTACAATAAAAAATATTTGTAACAATAACATTTTATACTGTAATTATGCCGTGCCTGCCAGCACTGCCAGCACTGCTGCCCCGCCATGTAGAACGGGCCCCACGGTTCCCAAAGCACCAGCTGCGCTGGCTCCAGCCCCGGGGGGCAGCCCGCTGTTGACACACCCCGCCTGCAGCTGCCCCGCCAGCACCACCGCCCACCCTGCACAGTCCCATGTAGAGCAGGCACTGCAGCTCCCAAAGCACAGGGGGCAGCCAGCCACTGCCGTCCCTCACACCCCCACCCTGCAGCAGTCCCGCCACTCCTGCCTCTTGTGCCCGCAGCCATTATTGCCCTAGCAGGGCTGAAGATCAAGAGAAAGTTACCGTGGCGTCGCTGGTCCAGTCTCCTCCAGGTATCTTCGGGACTAACTAGGAGATGGTGTAGTTGGGTAGCAGGGAGGGGTGCAAAGTTCCTGCCAATTTGCCTTCGCTGCAGACAACTTACATGTGCAAATTTTGCTGGCCAGGTGTTTTGGCGTGCTCAGCAGCAATTCCTATTGGCTTTCGAAAGCCAATGGGGTAGTAGCACAGCTCATGCAAAAGTTGAAAAAAAACCATCAAAAAAGGTGCCGGAATGCCGTTCTGAGAGTTCTGAGAAAAAAAAGCCCTGTAGATTAGTCTTCAAATATCGAAAAGGAGAACTTGTAGAAGGACACTTTTCAAGGGAGGACAGAACTCACAAAAGGAGGACTGTCCTCCCTAAAGGAGGATGGTTGGTTACCTTAATATTAAAAAGAGGCAGAATATTATATTTTCCCCAAATGAGGAATGAAGAAAAAACGCAGAAAGCACCTGTATCTCTCTACCATAGGAAGACAGCTTCAAACTAAGAAACCTGAAGAGGCTGGCCTTTAGGAATGCAGATTTTTTCATCCATTCAGGAAGACTTGGCCAATATATTTATGAACAAAACGCCTCTAGCCACCGAAGGCTGGAGTTGATGGGATTAAGAATTTACATCCCCCACCCAAATTCTAAGGACAGGGCATACATAAAAGGACTTCCCCACCACCATCAGAATAGCAAAAGACACAAGACTCACTACATTGCATAACTTCCTGGAGCAAGTCAATCAGAATCCTATAAAGATCTATCCACTCACTCAGCCACTTTGTCAGCTGTCCCAGAACTACATACTGTTGTTGGTTCTGCTCATTAATAAACAAGAACCTTCTTTCCTAAGCAGTCAGCCTCTATATTTTCTCCTGGCTTGGAACTGGACCTGATTTTTCTTTCAACAATTGCATAAATGAGCTTCCGCTGGGGAGCAACATTGATGGCGGCTACTTCCGAGCTGGCCCGCGGCTCGGAATCCCCTTCCCGGGCGAAGGGAAGGGGTAGAGATTGCAAGAATAGAGGTAGAACCTCTTAGCCCCCTCTGGATTTTTCTTTTGAGGGGGCAGAAGGAGCGTTCCCTCGGAGTTCCTGCTTTCTCCACCTCCCAGCTGTTTTTGTCTCTTCGGAGACAAAAGGAAACTCCGCTACCATCTCCGCGTTTAAAGTGTTCTGGTGAGTAATTTTTAAAGCGGACAGAGCAGTTTAAAGGATTTTTTTTTTTAGTTTAGTATTTTATTTTAATTTTTTTCTAGTTGACTTTGATTCTTTTTCCTTGTTTCTTTTTTGTCGGCACGGAGAGTGAAAGTAAGATGGCGTTCTGAAAGTACTTTGTTCTTTTGTTCTTTACTTTTTTTTCCGGAAAGAAAATATGGACTTAAATGAATACATCTATTGCTTTTAACTTTCTCCTTTATTTTCTGATCGTGTTTTGGGCACTTTTCTTGGCTTTTTTTTTAAACTTTAAGAATTTTAGTACTTTTTTTTTTCCTTTTTCCTTTTAAGAGAGAGAGAATAATACTTTGAAAAATGGCTTCAAAGAGGCAACCGGCCTCTATACTTTCTAAGGTGGTTTCCTCTCCTACAACTCTAACTGTACAACAACAACTTAAAGCTACACCATCAGTACTGCCTCCACCTTCTCCTCCTTTGCCAGGCTTATCTGCACGAGAGATTAAAGATATAATGAGAAATGCTGTATCCCAAATTAGAGATGAAATGAAGCAACTTCTTGAACAGAGCAAATCTGAAAGCAAAGAGGAAATGAAGGATCTTCTTAAACAGATCAAATCTGAAACTAAGGAGGAGATGAAAGACCTCCTTAAACAGAATAAATCTGAAAGTAAAGAGGAAATGAAGCAGCTGTTAGAGGACAATAACACTATTTTGAGGCAAGATATAGTAACAGCTTTATCAGGCCTGGCTTCTGTGGTTGTGAAATTGGATTCTAGAGTGAGGAGGTCGCAGATAAAGTTGACTTTATTGAAGATAAATTCCAGGATATGGAAAGAAAGGTGGAAATTTCACAAGAGGATATTCTTATGTCCCAGTACAGGGAAATGGAGCATGCTTTGAGAATCAGGGGTTTGAAAGAAGATATGAATCAAGATTTGACAGAGATGGTGCTTAATGATCTAGCTCTTGTTTTGAATATGGATAAAGATGAATTACGCAGAGAAGTGGAAAAAGTTTACAGAGTTAATTCTTGGATTGCGAAACAAAAGAATTTGCCAAGAGATGTGGTGATTTATTTTACAAAGAGGCCTCTGCGTAATGAAATCATACAAGCTTATTACAATAAGAGATTTCAGATTGCTGCCCAAGATGTCATTATTTTAAAGGAAATTCCATCAAGAATTTTAAGAAACAGGAAAGACTTTGCTTTTTTAGCTAATGAACTTAAAGCAAGATCAATGTCATTCAGATGGGAGATTCCGACGGGTATTGTTTTGAGCCATGCGGGGATGCGTTATAGGCTTAACACGGTTGCTAAAGCCAAAGAGTTTTATAATATGGTCCTGGGAGCAGGCTCATCTTTATCTATGATCCAGAAATCTTCGGGCGGCAAAGAGGTGGAACAGCAATCTGAAGGATTAGGTCTGATTTCTGCTGGGAAGTCACAAGTGGAATGGCAACGTCAAACAGAGGTTAAAGAGCAGAGGATGACCCGTGCAGCACACAGACGCAAGGAAAAGGAACAACAGAAGAAAGAAGTCAAAGAATCTTCTTATGAAAGTGCTTCATTGCCGGTGGGAGGAGCAAGACCCAAGAGTTCTGCAACACATTCATCAATGGCAGATCTTCAGGCAGTCTTCTCCAGGCTCCTGGTTAAGGGAGATGGCAAAGTTCCTGACCTGGAATGTTAACGGCCTTAACTACCCTCAGAAAAGAAAGAAAATCTTTCATTATTTAAAGCAACATAACAATGATATTATCTGTTTGCAGGAAACTCATATTTTACTTAAAGATCAAAAATATTTAGCTAATGTTCGTTTGGGATCTCATTTTGTATCTCCTGCCCCTGGGAAAAAAGGGGGAGTGGTTATTTATGTTAAGCAAAATCTACCA